GCTGTGGCCGACAGACGCAAAGAATTGCCGGGTCTGAATTTTTTACTTGCTTTTTTGTTTGAAACGGCGCTTTAGGTTGGAATTGGTGGAGGCGGACTTGCTTACACAAGCTGAGGATTGGCAGAACCCATCACGGTGCCCCCAAACGAGTACAATTCTGGCAACGATATTGCCGAACGGTGCAGTTCCGATGGAAATGCCACACACAACAGTAGCGACAAGAAGAGAGCGGGGATTTCGCATTGGGGGCTTGTTTGTGCCGCATAACTGGAGGTGGCTTAGCTGCTGCGACCGCATGGACTGAGCCAGCAGTAGACGAGCCTTGGATCATGGCCGAGTCATGTTTAAGGTTCATCATTGCTTGAAATTTTGCAGCCAGTTCTTGAAGTTTGACTGAGCTGGCCTGTTGCACGTGGGACAGCAAAAGTTTCTGGATGTTGGCATCCTCGGGGGCTGAAGGTCATAGATGTATATAAGGCATTTAAACTGGCCTTCTGTGAGAGAACCGAGTTGAAAACGCCCACAGTCCCGATTAACAATGCCGGTATACGTAACGAAATTGTCGGAATCCCTTTCGCACGGCTGGAGGCAGTGAAATAGAGTGTTGAACAGAGATATAGGTTCACCAGAAATCTGCGACAACGTCTTTCCCGTGTCCTCGAAGAAAATGCCTCGTGGATTCTTGGACAAGATTAAATTGGCATAGCGGGATGAAATCGGCAGGACCTAGTTTGCGAAGGAGGAGTCGTATCTTCCATGTGTCTTCCTTGGCAGCCAGCTCGACAGAAAACGAATTCTCGTATCGTTTGTACCATGAATCCAAAGAAATGTGGGCCTGCGGGTCACACAAAAACTGAAGGGTGCTCGGTAACGACTAGTAAGGTAATTTAAGGATCAGGCCGATGGTCTGCCTGGAACCATCGTTAGGGAACGCAAGACGAGCATGTTTGTTGGTTAGCTGAAGTATATTGTGTCGGAGCAAGATGTACGCTTGTCAATAAAGGTCAAATGAGCGGTCTGTTAAGGTTATCGAGTGAAACGAACGGGGCTGGTGACGGTAGCTCTAGAAAGGCGGTTGCAGGTCACCGGTATGTGTGGGCAGCCAAGTGTTTCAAGTAAATGAGCGCAAATAGATAAAGAGGCAGACCGACTTTATGGAACAGTTTGTGGTAGTTGACGTGGAAGTTAACTGATCGGGTGTGTGCCGTGATGAAAGAGATTGTACGATTAAGAGGGGGAATAAAGTGACAGAAGGGTGAGGGAACCATTGGTTACGACGCAGCGAGGCATCGGCTCCTCGTAGGACGAGTGTAAGGGTCAAAAGATTGTTTGATAGGTGGTCAGCGATCACAGGTACAGCTGATCTGGGCCAAAGAGTAGGGGTGGGGGGAATATTAAAGTCCTCCTAGCTCAAGAGGTTGATGTTGGACGCATTCGGGCGTATTTGCTATTGCGAATCGCACCAAAATTGTAACTTGCACGGCCGATGTTTGTGCAGGAAGGTGTACGGTTCACTGCTTGCAGGCACTGGCCATATTCATAAGTAAGTGGTTGAGTGGAAGCCGGGGATTGCTAGCTGCTAAAGCACATGTTGGTAAAAAATCCGTTCTATGATCTACAAAACCATAAAGAATCAGAGATTGTAGGCTTACCTCAAGGTAAGTAATTCTGAAGAGAGTGGCAAGTTATAATCTACATTATAAATCATGCAAAATTCAATAATATATGTCAATACGTTAACCATTTTTGTTAGATTAATGTTATAGTTTAGAGATGTTCTCTTATGACGAATCTAATATATTGTGGCCCATTGAACCCACCTCGAATCTAGCGCGCTCACAAATCATGACCTTGCACTAATTAAGCTGACTTACCGGCGCGTCCTGTGACCTTGTGGGCTGCTCAACCCAAAAATGCGCTCCGTACGAGAGCGCTGTGATGAGCTTTTAACACTCTATTTACAAGATTCTTCCGAGGAATCGGGAAGTTTCAACATTGAATTCCTGTTAGACACATTATTGTGCCTTTACTATGAGTGCAATTTGCCACAGCATCGGAACGAACGAAATTGCGCCAAATTTTGCAAGACAGGTTTCATAGCTCTTTTTGTGCATACGACCCTTGTTTAGTGAAAGATCTAATAAAACGGATTGAAGAATGTAGAATTTCTAGATCTGAGTTTGAAACCGTGCGACTGATTGGCTCTGGAGCTTTTGGCGAAGTCTCGTTAGTTAGAGCAAAGGGGACGAACGAAGTTTATGCCCTTAAGTCGCTCCATAAATATGACATGCTGAAACGTTCTGATGTAGGCGGAGTATAATGAGAATGTAATTTTTCTTAGAGAGCTTGTTTCCAAGAAGAGCGCGAGGTCTTAGTAAAGGCGATGATCAGAAATTCCCCGTGGATTTCTCAGTTGTATTATACCTTTCAGGATGAAAAATATCTCGTGTGTTCGCGCTTTCTCAATATTACTATTTAGTACTTCGTTATGAAATTTTACAATGGAGGTGATATGCTAACGATGCTAAGCAAGTTCGACGATCAAATCCCAGAACCTATCTCGCGTTTTTACTTGGCTGAAATGGTACTTGCAATCCATGCGCTACACGAATTAGGATACGTTCACCGCGACATCAAGCCTGATAATGTTCTTATTGAAAGGTATGATTAATTTTTAAACTCATTACTTCTCAAGCTCGGGCCACATTGTTCTAGCCGACTTTGGTTCCTGTCTTCGTATCGGAAATGATGGTCTCATAAAAAATACTGCCGCCATAGGGACGCCGGATTACATCGCCCCTGAAATTTTGCGAGCTGCTGAAGACACACATGGAACATTTGGAATAGAGTGTGACTATTGGTCTCTCGGAGTAGTGATGTTTGAAATGCTGTTCGGGGAAACTCCGTTTTATAGTGAGAACCTGATCGAAACCTATAGTCGAATAATGAATTTTGAGGTTAGTTTTCACTTCCTCTCCTTTTCTTTTTTGGACTGTTTTGCTTAGACGTCTGTTCTTATTGATTGGTTCAATATCCTTAGATCTTCTTGTGTACTATAGTTGCTGTTCATCTTTTCCCAACAACTGACTTCAATTTTGTTTGATATACAACGTATCACGGATGTTTTGTTCGTCATACTTTTCAGAAAACGTTTCAAATCCCCGAAGAAACCACTGTATCTGCTGAAGCGAAGGACTTGATCAAGCGTTTTATATGTGATCGCAAGCAGCGGCTTGGCCGTAATAACGTCCAAGAAATAATGGATCATCCTTTTTTTACGGGAATTGATTGGGAGTATATCCGTTCGCGTGAGTGCTTTTTGCTTAAATTTATCCACCGTAAAACCCTCACCATAGTCGAAACTCTAATAGTGTGGGCGTGTACAAAACCGTTTTGTCCAACTTACATAGCTGCAGTTTGTTGTCATCTAGTATAAAAGGCGTCACAACGGTGCATACTTTCGTCCCTCGCAGTTATATGTCTTTTTATTGCAAAAGAGGACTCGGGTACTTTTTTCGCAAAATTTAGAATTTATTTTATATGCAATTTTCTCTCTAATGCTTGACTTTATACACTGCAAAATAGTGAGGCACATTTTAACTCATCCGTCAAATATCGTGACATAAGTACTTTAGGTCCCAAGCGATGTAATTTTATTTCTTTTCAAATAATCAGAAGGCCCCGAACGATTAGAACGAATAAAGTTGAACTACTCTTTTTACTTATGGTCCATGCCAATTGACAAGCCTTTGCTAAAGTGCTTTAAGTCTTAAAAACTTAAAGTTCAAAGAGAGTTCGGGTCTTTCTAGTAAGATGACTAAGGCCAGATTCCGAATTTGAGCGAATAAGCCAAAATGCATGCTCGGTACCTTGGGATTTCTTTCAGCGGAAGCCCGACAGTCTATCTAACTTGGAATCAATAGAAATGCTAAGCATGCTACTTCCTACCTAACCTCAACTGACCTATAAAACTACCCTCCCGTAAAGTGACTTATTTGAGCTGGTGTTTTTGTTGCTTTTTTTTAGAGGAGGCCCCCTATAAACCGGAGGTGAAGTCCCCGGACGACACTTCAAACTTTGATATCGAAGAAACCACTCGAATACACGTATGCATGTTTTCTTCACATGCGCCTTACTGTGTTGTTTGGCTTGATCTTGTCACCCATTTAACCATCTGTTGCCTTTTTAGGAAGGTCCGCCGATGGGCTCAGTGTTCCGTGGCTGCCAAGTCGCTTGCATCGGCTTCACCTTTACCAAAGACTCTCCCTTCAATCAGGTAGAACGCCTCGAGAATGCACTGAAAGACCGCGTAGGGTCGTCAG